CCAACAATAATATAAAAAAGGGTAAACTACATAAATGACACCCTAACTATGGGTTTGGTCTCGAAATGACCATCATTTTCAAATTTTCATCAATATGACCACTGGATTATTTAAATGGTTTCAATATAGTCTCCTGCCGTAACATTTAACGGAAGTGTTTACGTGGCAATTAACAAAATTGATATAACTAGGGCGCGGGTCTTTGTAAAGTTACGTATTTTTTGCGTTGGAACCATGTTTTGTTTTCTTCCATTTTGGTCACCACTTGTATATGATTTGTTTCCTTGGATTTTCATTTAATGAAATTTGATCATGATTTTGTTTTTAATTTGTCTAATGCCTTCATTTGAACATTAACTTTAAAATATTTTATTTTAGTCATGTATTAAATGTATAGATTAAATCCCCTAGATTTTAGAATTAATCAATTTGATCACCAAGATTAAATTTAATTCTTAATTTTAAATTAGGTTCTAATTTCAATTTAATTTAATAAATGTATTTCTCCAATCAGATTGTGACACATGTCACAATCTGATTAAAGGGTTTTTTAATTTTAATTTAATAAATTTCAATTCAATCTAAAGGTGACACGTGTTATCTATTTGAATTGAAGTGAAAATAAATAAAAATGAGTTTTGTCACCCAAGAGAATCCAACTTGGGTCCCAATGGTAACCTTGCATGTCTTAACCACTAAACTAATTCTTATGTTTGTTATTGAGATAATGCATATGTTATACAACTTGTTCAAGTTTAGGCAGAAACAAATAAAATAACTTGATTGGATTTGAACACAAAATGAATTAGTAATTATGCAAGCCTTAACCAATAAGCTAAATCTAATATTTAGGAATCAATTATAATATTATATATATATATATATATATATATATACTTAATGATAAAAAATAAAAATAGATAAGTGAGAACTTACATCTAGGTCAATTGAGAATTTGACGACACTTAAATCACTAAAATAAATCTAATAGTTTATTTATAATTGATTTAAGATTTTAATATTTTAAACTAAATTTATTGTTTTCATATTTATTTTTTAATGATTATATATATGAAATAATTTAATATTCAAATTATAATCATAAGAAAAAAAATTAAAATTCAAATGATAAATTTATTTTAAATTGTCCTCGTAAGTTCATGTATGTTAAATATATTTTTAATTTAATTTTAAATATAATTATATAAATGATCATTCATAAATAAATAAAAAATGAAAAAATATAATTAAAAATATTAAATCTTAAATTAATTATAAATAATATATTAGATTTTTTAGCAATTTAAGCGTTATCATATTCTTAACCGACCCTCACTTGTCTATTTTTATTTCTATCATTAACTATGATATATAATATATAAAAATATTTTAATTAATTTATAAATGTTAGATTTAGCCTATTGGCTAAGGCTTTGCTTGGTTACGAACTGATCTTGCTTTTAAATGCAAGTAAGTTATTTTAGTTTTATTTTTCTGCCTAAACTTAAACAAGTTATATAACATATGTATTATTTTGATAACACATGTGAGAATTGGCTCAGCGATTAATTCTAAAATCTAGGTGATTTAATCTATAAATTTAATACATTACTAAAATAAAAAATTTTAAAGTTAATGATCAAATTAAGGCATTAGACAAATTAAAAACAGAATCATGATCAAATTGCATTAATTGAAAATCCAAGGAAACAAATCATATACAATAGTGACCAAAATGGAAGAATACAAAGTAGGGTGCCAGTGTCGAGAGTACGTAACTTTACAAGGTCCTATGCCCTAATTATATTAATTTTGTTAACTGACACGTCAATATCTCCGTTAAATGTTAACGGCATATGACTATATTGAACTCATTTAAATAATTCAGTGGTCATTTATGTAGTTTACCCTATGAAAATAGGTACTATGTTTCAATGACCTGAACACCAGCCCTATACCTAACAATTTTCTTCGGAATATGATTGATCTGCCTCTTAAGGCCATCAATTTAAGCATCTAACAAACTGGATTAGCATGTTTCCATGGGGTGTAGTCATTCAACGTTGTCAACTGTAGGAACAATTTCTACAGGGACTTCATTAGGATTCGAGTCAAGGCAACCATAATCCCAATTTAGTGGGCCCCATGTGATTTATTATTTTAATATATTTAATGAGATTTGTCACATGAAGAGTCCCTTAAAAAATTAATTTTAAAAAAAAATGATGGTGACGAGTTAATTGTCAACGGGTAACTACAATGGTCAATTGCTAATGATTATCATTGAACTCGTCACCTCGAAGTGATGAGTTCGTCCGGATTTAATTTAAAAATATATATTAATTAATTAAATAATCTTTATGAAAAGGTAAATACATAATAACTTTATTACCAATAAAAATAATAAAAGAGTTAGTACAAACTAATACATACATAATAAAATTTATTTATATTTTCGTAGTTTTTGACGATACTGAGGAGTGATCGAATGATAATGACATGAGACTTGTCGAGTACGTCGAGATCATTCACCTTGATCGTTTTTGTCTTCATCTTCGTTTGCTTCTTGAAGAGGAGGTGTACTGAACACACTCTGAGATCCACCTTCGAAATACGATAAAGAGATACTTATGGTATTTGGCGTCATCATTGCCGTAATTGAATCGACTTGGCTACCTTGTTGACCATATATCATATGATCCCATTCACCCTCACCTGCATGTTCTGTCGAAGATGCTTGAGTGTCTTGCATTGCATCCCATGAACCTTCAACCCAATTCGGTTGAGTCTTGGTTGAAGCATGATATGGAGGATAAAAACCAAAACTAGCATGAGATGCAAAATAATCGGTAGAAGCAAAAGACGAAGATAATGATGATTTCTTGAACTTTGTGAATCTTTTCTTGAGTTGTGACCATTCTTCATTCTCTTCCGATGTCGTTAGATAGAGTTTCTCATTTGCTTCATAATTTCGGAGATAGAGAAAAAGGTCGAAATTTAGATCAGTAGGTGTGATCTCGTAACGCACGGAGATAGATAAATAGAACTGATTCTATTGCTCAATATAAACAACGTGCTTCATAGGCCAATTTTTTGTATGCTTCCTATGCGTATCAATTCTATGGAGCGCATCCATATCAAATATTTACATAGGAATTAATTGATTAGACGCAAACTGTCACAACACTCTATCTGTGACGTGCATCTCGATAATCACAAAGTGTAATAAAGACATTACGACACAAAATAACTCCGACCCATCAAAAAAATACCAGTGGCAGTAACTGGTAGATCTCTTCGTTACAATACGAAAGCTATGAAAACTGTAAACATTAATTATAAAAGTTATTATATATAAAGTTAAACGATTTCAAAAAAATAATAAAATAACTAATATAATACAGTTGAATATTTACCGCATGTCGACCAATGATATCAATCCTCATTCGTATATATCTTTTAGTTGCACCCGACAACTTGGTCTCGATTATTTTATGTGTCATCTAAAAAATATAAAAATTAAAATTAAAAGAGAAAAAAATTAATTTAAAAAATTAATTAAAATAAAGTTAAAAAATTATCTTGCAGCCAAAGGAAACTCAACTGAGGCTGTTGTAATTGGCGTAAAAAACAGGAACTGATATCAAGCCCAAGACTGTAGCAATAATAGACAGTCCGCTATATCGGCTTTTTGACCCTTTTCGATAATTGTAGCCTTATAAAGCTCCCGATATAAAATAGTCAAAATCGCCAAGCCCTAACTAGTATTACGACACTCAATAAAATTATTCAATATAGGAAGATACTGAATGTGCGCCAAATTACTGGATTTATCTGTTAATAATATCCCTCCAATTAATTGGAGAAGATACACTCGGGATGTAAATACGACCTCCTTCTTGGTAGAGTCATTTGTCACTTGAAATTCGAACTCCAACCAAGTGATCCGTATCTGATACCCGTCTAAGACCTGGTGGCATCATTCCTAAAACTTTATGAACAATACCGAATAGGTTGTGATCGTTCCACCTCATGACGGTTGTACCATTAACCGGAACACCCAGTTGGTAAGTGATACCTTTTAACGTAATCGTCGCTTCACCACTCAAAAAATGGAAAGTATGAGTCTCGAGAATCCAACGTTCAATCAGAGCCGAAGTCAATGTCGGTTCAACTTAAAACCACGCATAAATATGGTTGGATACAGGGTAAATTGTTATAGATATATAATCATCCGCTGATGCGGATCTCTCAATGTCATTCCTCGTTGATGAATGCTTCGTTATTCATCCGAACTGAGTTCGAATGAAGAAATATGGGCACCATCAAGGCGTAATATTTCTTCTCAAGTAGACATTTTTATGGGAATTCTTCACAAACTTCTATTTTTTCTCAAAAAAAATTCGTAACAATAAATGGTAAAAATTCTAAACCCTAAACCACTATTTATAACCTCGATCCCAACAACTATAAATGACTATATTATTCAAAAATCCGAGAGAACTCCTCGCCTCGATGTGACAAGTTCCATGGTGACCGTTGTTAATTGACCGTTATAGTTGATCGTTGCTCAACGGCTCTAAACGACTAGTTTTTTTAATTCAAGGGAACTCGTCATGTCAAAGCAATGAGTTTTATCGTTTTATTTTTCAAAATTATTTACTTAATTTTAAAAATAATTTAAAAAAATTAATTTCTTAAGAGATAAGCGACGAGTCCCATTAAATATATTAAAGTAATGGCCCACATGGGGCCTACTTAACTGGGACCATTGGGCCAAATAATTTTTGGACCCTCAATATTAAGCCCGAAAAACCCTACAATGACAGCTCAATAAGAAATGGGCTAAAGGTTTGGGCTTGTCCTCACATATGACCGTGAGGATATGACTTGGAAAAGTAGGGGCCAGTCATGCAAATAGAGTGAAAGATGGAAGAAAGCTTGACGACTTCAAATTCATACATATACGTTCGGTTATCCATTTAATCCTTATTGATTCTTTTGTCACTCCAATTTTAGCTATCCATTAATCCCATTCCCACTACATTTCTTATTTCAAAGATGACACTCCTCCTCTCATTACCTCCGCCTTCTTCGCATTGTTTTTCCTCTTCATTCTCTTCCGGCCACCGGTCCTCTGCCGTCGTTACCACCGGCCTCCCTATCCGTTTCCCTGCGGTCGCGGCTGCCACCACCACTCACCATCATCAACAGTCCCTTCCTATTGACAGGTCTTCGCTCGCTGTTGCTGAAGCGGTGGAGGAGGACCAGCTTTGGGCTGCTGCTTGCCTCCGCATTCGCTCATTCAATGACTTTCAGTCTTCCTCCTTTGGCATCCAAGTGAGACCTTCTTTCTTTCTGTTGGTTAAGAATTTGTGGGTGCTTTTGTTTTGGTCAACGCGGGAGTTTTAATTGGTTTATTAACAATTTGGCAGCGTTTTGTTTTGCGCTTTTAACAAGTTGTTGAAGGTTTGAAGGATTGTCGATTTTGATGTTTGTGAAAAGGGAGTTTCATGTCATCTAATTTAACAGCTGAAATACAGAGTTGTTTTGCTCTTCTTTTTTGTCAATGCCTTTCAAATTTGTGATAGGGTCCTTCGAAGTTGAAATTGCATAGTCTTAAGAGTTTCATATGAAAATTCCTTGGTGACTTTCATCAGAGTCTCTGTAATTTTACTTCCTATGGAAGGTCCTTGTTTGAGGAAACTGTGTAAAATCATAAAAATCACTCGTATGAACTATGGTTAATCTTATCATATAAGAAATTTCCGAGCTATGCATGTGATGGATTAAATGTCCATGACTTTTTCCAATCATAGGCATTTTCTAGCAGCCTAGAGATTAAATGAGCCCTGTATGAAGGATGAGGGGGTGCTGGGGCACCCCTGGGAACTTCAAATTCCTATGATCTAATTTTGCATCTTCTAGAATTTTGTAATTTCGCACCCCCTAGATTTGTAATATAACTTCCTAAGTTTGCACCCCCTGAAATTCTGCTTCTGGCCCTACTCTATCCCATGTCGAAATGTGTAGAAAAGAATATATACTGGCTGTTCTTGGACTGACATGATGTTTTAGATTTAGTATTGTATTGTATTGTAAGAACTAGTTTTATACCCCATTAGTGCAGCATTGTTTTAATTACGAGGAAAATGAACTAGAAAGAAAAATGTTTCCTGAAGGATTGTAATTTTTCTATCTATTATCTTCTTATTATGATACTTACGGTATTTAGTCCTTTTCAAGTATTAGGATCATAAAAGGTACTTGGCTGAACGTGAATTTTTGGCGCTAAAGGAAAGAATTGCTGGGAAGAGGGAAGGCTTTAAGAGAGTATCTTGCATAAACGCTACACTTCCTTTGTCACAATTATCAAACTCTGCTAATGATTTATGTGCTTCATGTAAGGTTTGTTTGCTTTCTTTTTAGGTTTTTGCAACTTATAATGATTCAAATTTTAAATGTCATGTTGGCATGTCAATGCTATTGTTTTTGTTGATTAGAGACTTTAACAAGATTCAGTGTGCCATATATTCCTCTAGGAGAATCTCTGTAATAATGATGTTGAAAAATTTGATGAACTGAGGAATGTCTAAACTCAATACTTTTAGATAGGATGTATCTTACGGGTGTCTGTTTGTCATTACTGGACAGATACTGGCAAAGAGCAACATATTAAGGTTTAGTTTTGCGTGTTTGGAACCAAATCAAATTGAACACTAGGCATTTATCAGAAAGGAAATGATATTTATCCATGTGGCAAAAAGAAGGAACCATGCAGAAATGGATAGTTCTCTTTTGCTGATAGTTTAAACTTTAAATGGTATGCCTGCAATATGAAAGGGTTATTAGCAAAAAAAAAAAAATGGAAGAAGATTACCTCTCAAGATTGGAACTTGAATAAGTTGAATAACGGACAAGTTCAGGATATTCAAATCTTCTTTTAATAGTAACTTTCTTTTTTAAGTTTTAACTAGTTCAGGTAATGCTGGATAGCTGAGAGACCCCAAGGTACGATATTAGTGAACTTGCAGGCATTAGACAGATAACTTTCTGGATATACTTTCGTACTTAATTTTGTCATTTTATAGGCTCTTTTGTGTACAATTCAATTCTCTAATGATTTATGTCAGGTAAAAGAAAATCTTCTCCGTTTGATGTTATGGGTTTGGAATAATGAGGGTTTTACGCCCTTCTGTGTTCTCTTTATTAGTTGTAAATCTCCAATATCAAATTTCTGCTTACTTTTCAAATATAATATGAGCTGTAATTCTAGACAAACGTATGCCTTCTTGAAATTTGTTTGCTTCACTTTTTACTCTTTTTTTATCATTCTTCCCCCTTTTCTTTTGTAGTTTACTTCCAACGGAGAGGATAGAGTTGTTGTTGGAACCCTTGATCTTAACCAATGTCTTTGGCTTCCAGAAGAAATACCTGGAAGGAAACCAGAGGTATTCATTTATTTCAACATTTTTCTCAATGTTATGTTTGTGCTTATTCAGTTAACGATATAGTTTTAGGTGTTAGGGCTTCTTTATTGTTCTTCAAAAGTGGAACATACTTGTTTATGATTGAGGTAAGAGTATTTATACTGTATACTGATTGACTTGTTCCACAACAATTTGCCGTCAACCTACAAATTTCCTATTGAATTACATGATCCAGATGCTAAAGGACTCAATCGTACCTAGAATAAAAATTTTCAAATAAGATTTAACTAATTAAAATAGTAGGAAATGACAACTGAATTTCTAAAAATATGTTTCTCAGACTTTTATTTTCCTTGTAGCACCCTTGTTCTACACATATCCAAAAAAATGGGTACGGAGATATTTGGAAAAACTTAGAAAAATTGAACTAACTTGTTTAGGCACATACTATTTTTCAACATTCACTGCAAAGACCGAGTAATGTAGCTGAGAATCACTTGTGGATCTTTGTTAATATATTAGAAATAACATTGATGAAATTTATCATGCTATAATATTTGATATATAGGTTCTAGCATCAAAATGATTGCTTTAGTATAAATTGATCTCTATTTTGAGCCTTCTTTGACAGGGGATTGAAGCTGAATATGGAAGAGCATACCTAAGCAACGTATGTGTAGCTAGGGAACTGCACAGAAATGGCTTAGGTTATGACATTGTCTCGAAATCAAAGACAGTAGCTGGAGAATGGGGTAACAAATGCATTAATCTTTTATGATGTCCTGCCCTTTCATAATCATCTCACTTTAATAAAACAATTGTACTGGACAGTTTGTTGCTATCTGAAAATTGAAATTATGAATTTTGGTATAAGATGGTAAAAGCTAAATGCTGCACCAACTCGGGCTATTTGGTGCAATCATTTAGAAATTTAGCCCGTTAAATATATAAAGGGTACACTACACGTTTAGTGCCTAAACTATTACTTTTGTTCCGTTTTGGTACCCAGACTTTATCTTCTTCTTTTTTCCAAAACCATACATAATGTTTAGTTTAGGTTTCATGTTGGTACCCTACCGTTAAAAACTTGACGTTGATGTTGACATGTCACCATAAGGTAATGTCACGTCACAATTGAGAAAAAAATAAAAAATGTCACTTCAGTAGTTATGTTAATTTTTTAACGACGGGGTACCAAATTGAACTTAAACTAAACGTTAGGTATGATTTTGAAAAAAAAAAGTTTGGGTACCAATACGGAACAAAAGTAATAATTTAGGTACTAAACATGTAGTTTACCCATATATAAATGGGTTGACTGTCTGTAAGGTTCTCTTTAGGACTATGTTTTGTCTGACCTCTTTTGTCAATGAGAAAAAAAAATAAGGGTCTCTCTGAATAATATTCTACATATTATTTATGTTTATATTAGTTGGGAAACTTAAAGGAAGCAATGATATAGTTTGTGACTGTTTTGGCTTCTCTAGAGAGGCCTCCTAGACTAGAATATTAGCATGCATTTTCTTCAAATAAGGGATTCCTTTGCTCCCTCTTTTGTTTTCTAACCCTGTCTTGCTATTTAAATACATGGGGCATAATGTTCTATATGTTAGCTGAGGGAGGTTCACCACTTTCTGGACTTGAAATCGGTTTAGCACTGAAAGGACTGACCCTTTTCAGTTTGTACACCTTTGTCATCGGATTGATTGTTTTCAGCACTAATCTAAGTTAACCATGAACATATTTCTTGATATATTGTTGTTAGAACTTGGAACTTGAAGTCATCAAAGAAATGCTACAAGTTTCTTCATTTCGTTCAAGGCAAGTGAAAATTGCCCCCAGGGGATGATGCAAACCATGTTGTCTTGTGTATTGGTAAAACTAGAAACATTTTCTAAATATGGTGCAAACCATGTTGTCTTGTGTACTAGTAAGGGACAATGTTTTATAGACTTGCACTAGAGCATTCTGCTCATCGGTAGGTATATACACGTGTGTACAGAACTTATTCTAAATACAAGATATTTAAATGCTATTTGTTGCACCATTTCAGGCATAACTGATCTATACGTACACGTTGCCGTCGACAACGAGCCTGCAAAGAATCTGTACTTGAAAAGTGGTTTTATTCATGAAAATGATGAGCCGGCTTGGCAAGCTAGATTTCTGGATAGGCCCCGAAGGATTCTCTTATGGATTGGTGTTCCTTGCACTAATGAGTTGTAATGATATAGACAACCATTGTGCTTGCTGTTGTTTGATAGTGCAAATTGGGATTCCATACATGTTTATATCATCTGGAAAAGTATCCCATTTCAAAATGTAATATAATGTAAATGCAGCTAACTGAACTTAGTTAATTATCTGGAGCCGATCTGCAATATTATCAAAAATTGGAAATGCCCATTTCACGGCTCCCGACATGAACAAATATAATGTAAATTGTGGTTTTGCCTGCATTGTCAAGGCCGAGAGCAAGGATACGAGCTTCCTTGTTTCCAAACAGTGAAGAGAACAATTTTGTAAACAGTGTACTCATTATCGTTAAATATACAAAAGTTACTCTCGATGCATGAATTTTGGATCAGATTACCAGAGCAGCACCCTCTTTTGACTTCCTCCCACGAAAAAAAAGAAAGTGCCTCTGCTTGCAAGAGGAGATGAGATTTCGATAGGGATGGGCATGAGATCCGAACCTGACGGGTTCTGACTCGACCCGATTGGGTCGTTTTTTTAAAAATTTAGGTTTGGGTCGGATATTTCTTTTAAGTTATGTTCGGGTTGGGTTTAGAGTGAAAAATATGACTTGACCCAAAAAAATTGTAATTTTACCTTATATATTTAGGGATAATTACAATAATACCCCTTTATATATTATTTTCTTATAATTAAATCCTTATTTTTATTGAATAAAAAAAATATTTTTTAATAAATATATTATTTCGGTTAGGTCAGGTTTAGATTTTATCTCAAAAAATAGAATTGAGTTCGGGTCGGATGGAAGGTATATATTTTTCGAGTCGGGTGGATCGAAAATCCAACCCGACCCATGCCCATCCCTAGATTTCGAGGGTAAAATTTAAGAATTTGAAAAGTAGAGGGGTGAGAAATGCAAATCCCCCTTTTGTGGCTATGTTGTGTGTTTGCAAAGAAATAGATTAGGAACACATTGATAATAGTAACACATACAATAAATTAACTATTCGACCTCACATTTTCTTTAAAAGTAACCCTCATTATAATCATTGAGTTACATTCTGCGTTTCTCTTTTATATCAACTTAATTTTCTTTCAATATTTTTATACCGTCTTATTCTTTGATATTTGTTTAGCTAGTGGTATCATTAATTTTAATATCGATTGTCGATTGCCGAAATATTAGTTCTCTTATTTTTTATATTATGTCTTTATGTTTTTTTAGTCTTTTTAATTTTGAATAAACATCTCTATTCTTATAACATGATTTTCTCTACTCTTGTGGCACGCGTTTTCTCTACTCTTGTAACATGGTCCTCATATTTTTCGATACATTTTTTTCGCATAGATTTGCGGTCATTTTGGTTCTCGTCCAAAAATCATCACAACATTTATTTTCTGATTAGTTAGTCGATGGTCACGTATAGTCAGATCCCCTCTTTTGGTAAAAGGTTGTTTGCCGATGTAATCAGAATTGTGTAGCAAAACAGCCTACCAGATTATTTGGTTCGCTCTTCACTCCTTTAACACTTCGTCATCCGTCTCATTTGACAGAGATAATGAGTTTATATAAAGGTTATTGGGTTTTGCTATTGATCGTCATTTTAAATGAAAAGTTTTACATTTTTTCATATTTTTAAATTTATTATTTACTTTTGTTTGAGTATTTTGTTGAGTATTGTCTCTAAATTTAAATCTATATTATGATGCGATGTAATTTTAATTCATTAATAAAATCCAGTAGACATTGTTAAAAAAAACATACCGCAAATATTGGTAAGAAAATTTGATGCTTAAGATACCTCATCCTACATAAAGAAACATAAAAGAAATTATTAAGTGCTTATCAACAATAACCAATTTGATTCATTTCCTATTAAATCTCTTTCCTTTATAAAGGAAGGTTGGCCAACCAAATTAAAAAACACAAGAAAAATACAGGCATTAATAAAATAATATAAATAGTGGTCTAATGTTCTCAAACATCATGGAGAGGATACAGTGGCGAAACTCGACATTTTTTGGTGACGGCCATTTTAAACAAATTCTAAATACTAATTAAAATATCATACTAATAAAAGAAAAAGCTTATAAATTCTTAAAATTCATCCGCTCACATAAAAATTCAAACAAATATATTGATATTTCCACATTGGCTTACGTAACCTAGGATCGTGTTCTATAAATGGAAGATTAATGTCTTCAACTTCAACAATCGGAGGCTAAGGAAGAGATTGACTAAAACTCTGAAGCTCAAGCCATGAAGTTTTCGATGGCATACTAATTTCTATATTATCAATGTTTTTTTTTTGAAAAAAAAAATATAATTTTTTGTTTGCTCATAATTTAACACAACTTGTAACATATAACCATAAAATATATTAATTTAATTTTATAATAAATTAACATAATCTAAAAATTAATCAATAAAGTTTAAATTTTCTATTTATATTCAAAGTACAACCATACATATAAATTGAATTGAAAAATATTAAAAAAATTACCTTCAATAGAAATAAAATACTTGATAACTTGATTGAAGTCCTCAACTCATAAAAGATGAACAATTTAAAGAATATGAACAACTAAAAAATCAAATTTTTTTATATCTTGAAATAAAAATAACAAAAAAATAGATTTTCATTCATTTAAAATTAAAATAATAATATAAAAAGTACATGTTAATTCTTTTCAATAAATAATATTTAAGTGGTTTCCAAGTTTCAAAGTAAAAACACATTCTTTTAGGTAATTATATATTATACAAATTTTTTTAGGGGTCAAATTTAATAATTTAATATATATATATATAGAAAAAATTGTGGGGATGGCCCCCTAGTCCCTTAAAGCTTCTGCCCCTGAGAGGATACAACTTTAATTCTTAAGAAATTAAAGGATTACTTGAAATATAATATGCCAACAACTGGTGGTAGCTCAAGAAGTATTTTACCTAATAAATTATGGAGAGTTGGTGTACACAAACTCTGCATAAAACTTAAAAATAATGTTTTGAAAGAAAATGGATTGGGTATTTGAATAATACCATACTTGGTCAAGCAATCTCATCATAACACTCGTATTACATCTTCATAAGCTCGTTGACTGACTGTTACAGAAAGCAAGCTTAAAAGCGTGAGCCCACAGTGTAAAAAGATATCTTTAATACAACTCTGCGTTCAATACCGAGCATTTCCCAATGTTCCGAGAGAAGCCGCAAATCCAATTGCCAATATCTGTTCTAAATACACTCCCTACTGTAGCATGTTCTTCCTCAATGTCCACCGCACCATCCATATTGATTTTAACCCACCCATGTCATCGCCTCCTCTAACTCTTTCAGCATTTCTAACAAGGTTTCCGCCCAAAGCAAGCCACATAAACACTCGGATACAGTATATGACCATATCATTAAATGAGTTAGATATCAATGATTTTATACAAGGAAATTTTATAATTAGTATTCAAATCATATTAATCGTTATATTATTTATTATTTATGTTTTTAAAAATACATTGAACTTCATTTAAATATTATTCATAGAACATATTGGACAAAATTTTTATAATATTTTTATTGAAAAAATGCCTCGAATGTTATTCATAGAACATATTGGGCAAACTTTTTATAATGTTATGGTTGAATAGGGTGTTTTCTACAATGTAAGGAGAAAGTGTACTGTGCTCGGTGTGTCCATAGTGAGTTGTCAGGACCACCCTGCGTCTTTGGCCATCCAAGGGGGAGACGCAACAATTGCACTGCGTCAGTCAGTGTATGTATATGTACATGCCTTTAGGGAGTTAAGAGAATGCCGATTATGACCTCCTTTCTTTTTAATTTCATATAGAACCTATGGAAGATGACCCAACTTAGAGTTAAGAGGGCAGAGATGAGAGTCATGCCTCACCAACGACAAATTCTGGTGATGAGTTCATCTCGGATACAATTCAGAGCAGGCACCAGTAGATGTGGCGGTTGAGAAAGTGACATATTTTCACGGACCTTACCTACGTACTTAGACATATAACTAGGTGTCTCCCTAGTTCTTTAGTTGCATCACCTCCCCCACCAGTACCCTTAGTTTTGCCAGTAGTCATTCCCCATGAGTTCCTAGTTGAGAAACTCAGCAGGTATGAGACCAATGAGTTTTTCAGTTCTGAGGATGAAGTTCCCATAGTAGTGACCAGTGGCTAAGAGATACGCTTCGCACACTCCGACAGTTGCATCTTACCCTAGAGGGTAACTTGAGTGTGTCACTGCCTACTCAAAGGTGACGCCATAAATTGGTGGGAGACGATCGAGATGGTGATGGAGCTAGAGAGGCCGACATGGGAGCAGTTTCTCGCAGAGTTCAGACAGAAGTATATCGGGCATACTCATTTCGATGACTTGATGGAGCAATTCATGTACTTGACTCAGGGTGTTCGTTCAGTGATGGAATATGAGCGAGAGTTTCTCACGCTTAGCAAACACGTTGTAGAGTTGATTCCGACAGAGGAGCACCACTGTCACAGGTTTAGAGAGGGTCTTCGCTGTGACAATTTGACACACCTTGAAGCTGATCATCCCAGGATCTTCGTCCAGCTGACCCACCTGGCAAATATAGTTGAGAGGGCGTTGGCTAAACATGCTAGACAGTCCGGTGAGACTCCAGGACAGATCAAGAGAGCCATTGAGCCAATGAGGCCATCTTAGACTCTAACCAAGAGGGCCAAAGACAGTTAGGGTTCATCAAGACCCACAACATCTCAGTCGATGAGGACTAGGCAGAGTCTGGCCAATAAGGTAGGTCTGATTACAAGAAGAGACCATTGAACTTAGCCTCGGAGTGTAGCACCAGTGAGTCGATCAAAGTCTTCACTCACCCTATTTGTGCTCAGTGTGGGTAGGGACACGTACCAGTAGGGTTCGAGAGGTTTCTACAATTACGACTCCTTGGACCACTTCGTTAGAGGTTGCCTTAGAGCTCAGGGTACAATATCTGCAATGACTCAACGATCGGCACCATTAGTGCAGAGGGGCCAATGGCTAGTTAGGGGTAGTAGTACAGTGTTTGGGAAGCAGAACTGGGAGACAGTTAGATCAGTGGCCGACGTAAACTTAAAGTAGCCTTCAGATAGTATACGGTGCGAGCTCGAGAGGAGGTTGATGTGATAGATGTGATATGAAATACCTTTATAATTTTTTCCATTCCATTTACCACGTTGATAGACCTCGATTCCACCCACTCTTACATCTGCTC